CACACACACACACACACACACACACACACACACACACACACACACACTTTGTTATAAACCTATATTCCCATTACCCCAAACCACAACTTGCTTCACTGTACACGCCCTGCTTTCCTTTAATCCAGGTTCGGGCTCACCACGATGGGGCAGCTCCTCTCCATTTCCCCTCACTCGGCCTACGCAGAGAAATCATTGTAACCACTATTCTGTGCCAAGGCCCAAAGGCCCTGTGAGGCAGTCCTAGTCCTGTCTTTTGATTTGCAGAGAATAAGAGGGAGGTGTATAGAGAAGGCCATAAATACACTTGTTGCATATTCATGAGTCAGTTCCCAGTGGAGCCTGCAGCAAAGTGTATTTTTGGCTTTCATTTAACTTACCCATTCCTTCACTGTGGACTGCTACTTCCTGTGTGCCTTGAGGGATTTCATTTCTTAGATTTGTTGGCTTTTTCACTTGTACTTGTTCTTTGGTGGGAAAAAAAAAAAAGGTCCTTGTCTTAACACTTGCCATCTATTCATTGGTCAATTTGCCACAAAAAAATGTGGAAAATGAGTGACATGGAGCAGGCCTGTTCCTGCCCCTTGCCCTTCCTATTGTAAATGAAATGTAGGCAGATACAGAAACTTACTTGGACTTGGTTAACTACTTCCTTTTTGAAGAAAGTTCAGAAAGTATCCTCAACTCTGTTTTGGGGACTGTTCTTCTTAACAGAGTAATAGGCCAGGAGAAAGCTTAGGAAAGGGGTGTGTGTGCATCCCTCTGTCTACCTCTTCCCTTTTCATCTCTCTCCCCCTCCCATCCCCCGCTCCATCTCCCTTTCCCCCCTCCCTTTCCTTCCCCCACGGCGTGGGGCTGGGGGTGGTGACGCCACACACACACCCCCATCAATTCCAGATTCCTTGCAGCCACCAGCCCATGACTTCTCTCACAAATGGTTCTCATTTTTGCATGTGGGGGCACCAAAACAAGTTCAGCTAAGCCAGAGAAGAGTTCACACTTTGTAGTAACTTTTTTTTTTTTAATAAATTTATTTTATTTATTTATTGTTTTTGGCTGCATTGGGTCTTTGTTGCTGCGCATGGGCTTTTCTCTGATTGTGGAGAGCGGGGGCTACTCTTCATTGCAGTGCACGGGCTTCTCATTGCGGTGGCTTCTCCAGTTGTGGAGCACGGGCTCTAGGCACGTGGGCTTCAGTAGTTGTGGCACGTGGGCTCAGTAGTTGTGGCTCGCGGGCTCTAGAGCGCGGGCTCAGTAGTTGTGGCTCACGGGCTTAGTTGCTCCGCGGCATGTGGGATCTTCCCGGACCAGGGCTCGAACCCGTGTCCCCTGCATTGGCAGGCAGACTCCCAACCACTGCGCCACGAGGGAAGCCCTGTAGTAACTTTAACTTGAGTCTTTTAAAGCCTCTGGGGCACAGAAGACTTGTTGCAGAATTTAGGACCTGGTCTTCACTGTATACCTTCTGCAGGAGTCTGCATTTCTAAACTCACCAGAGCGCTCGTATTAGTGATGACCTTTAGGAAGGAAGCTTTGCTCCTCTTTTGAAAGCCCAGGGGGTAGGCTTCTTTGCTCTGTAATTTTAAAAAGGTGTGAGCGTCCCCAGGCCTACCCTTGTGGTAGAGGACTGAAGGGCAGAGCATCACCAGTACCTAAACACAAGCCTGAAAGAAGAGCTTGCTTCTAAGAACTGCTTGGAACTGTTTGGCTCACAGCTTTTCAGTCACATTTGAGTTTCTGCAAAAGAGCTCTTCCCAGCTGGGAAATGTAAAATCCCTATGGCCAGCAGTATACCTTCCCCCACTCCTGGGACAAGGCTTCGGTCTCTCATCCCATGTTCCTCAGCAGGAGTTCTGGTGACTCCTGGTACCAGCCACCATCTGTCTCGGCAGATGAGGTTTCCCAAGCCTCCACCCAGCTGTCTTCCTCCCCATAAGCAACTTAATGTTGCCTGGAAGCCGCACTGTGGGATGTAGTGGGGAGTTTAGGCTTGGCATCACAACTTCCCAGCAGCTCCTCTTGGCGTGTTCTCAGGAGAGAAATGACTACAGGTCACAATACCTTGCCCTGTCTCCTTTGAACCAGATTATTAACGGGTTTAGATTTTGTGTCCCTCCATCTTGCCTTAAGCGGACAATTCTGGAACGTTCTGCCAGGAACTTCAGTGTTAGTCTTTTCTTGGTGGTTCAAATCCTCATTGAGTCTGAAGTTTCAGGGAAGCAGTTTGATTTAACACTGCATGCAGAAGCTTCCTCCTGTCAGCATTTTCCTCACGGAAGTAAAAGCCCCTGCAATGAAGTTAGCTCTTGAAGGCAAGGGGAAATTTTGCTCCAGGACAAAGAGGCATGACTTGCCTGTTACCCTCAAGAAGCTCACCCTTACAAGCAAAGCAGGCTAGGCAGCTAGGGAGGGTGGTGTCTGGGCCTCCAGATAGAGAGAGACCAAATCTGCTGGTCCTCCTGGAGCCGCCTTCATTCCCCATATCCTGAGTGTGACTGTCCGGAGTCCTCCTTTGCTGAGTCTTTTCTCTGCTGATTGGTCCTCTCCTCATCCCCATGCTCGAAGCACTCACTAATGCTTTCGTGCTATGCTGTAGCATTAAGAGCCTGAGTTAAGGCTTTTAGCACACAATTAAATGCAGCATGTGGTATTATTGTATTAGCTGAGACTTAATCTTAAGCATGAGGGACTTTAAGGGCATTTTTGTAGCTTTGGTTTCCGACGATGGGGTTTTATGTGAGAGGTTTATTGATTCAGCTTCCCTTTGGGAGGTATTTGGCCAGAAGCTAGTGCTGAACACCAAGGATCCTAAAAGTCCCACAGACCCCTATTGGTCCTGGCTCTTGGGGACGGAGATAGTAAAGCGGGCCAGCTTTCTCTTCCAAGATGTGCAGCATGGGGCTGGGCAGTTCTAGGGCTGTGGTGCGGAGTGATGGCCATCGGCTTTGGTTACTCCTGGCAGACTCCGGGGCTCTTCTCAGTATTAGATCAGCCGTCCCGGGGACAGGGGTGGGGAAGGGTGGAGACGGAGGGGAGAAAGGCCCCACACTTAAGGTATAAGCGTTCCGATAATGTCAGACAGTCTTTGGCATCAAATCTTAACATAAACTGTGAGCAAATAGCTAAGAGCCAGTGAATGTTGAGGGTCCAGCCGTGTTGTCCTCACATATATGACAAGATCCTCTGGGAATTTTCCCCCAAGTCCATTCAAGGAACTTATTCTCTTTTGTGTTGTGTGACTTACGGGGTAGGGATATTATGGTTTTGCTTGTTTGGGTTTCTGTTAAAAAGGAACTTTTCAGGGTCGGCCTTTTTGGAGGGGTCGGGGTGGGGACGGGTAGCGGACAGTCCCCATTTCTTGTCGTGGAAAGTTTGCTTGTTTGAGGTTGCATTCAGTCTCCGGTGGTTTGTTTGTCTCTGCCCCTGCCTAGGTGCAGCTGAATGCCGGCCAGCTGCAGTATATTCGCTTAGCCCAGCCTGTATCAGGCACCCAGGTTGTGCAGGGACAGATCCAGACGCTTGCCACCAATGCTCAACAGGTATGTGCTGCAGAGATTCAGGGCTTGAGTTGGGAACCAGCTGGAGCTGGCTTCTGACAAAGTGCTCAGCACACAACTCTCGCCACCTCATCCTTCAGCAAGAGCCGCCTCCACCCCCCGCACGTCTGTTCTGCACCCCAAGGGACAGATGGGGTTTATCGGAGGATTGGATTCAAAGTGTGTCTCTTACCATCGTGCTCTTGAGCGACAAGGAAGCTCAAGGCAGGGGAAGCCTCAAGGATACTTGAAGAAAGCCCAGTGTGTGTGTGCGCAGGTCTGACTGGAGGAAGCCTTCTGACAGACTGCCTCATCGTCAGGCTGAGTTTCCATCTTTAAACCTGATGACTGTTGTGATCTGGCGCCTCCTGTGCCCCTTGGAAAGCTACTTAGGTTTTTACTTCTACCTTCTCATGCACCCCTAACCAGAGACTGCCCTCCTCATCTCCTCTCATGCCCTGAGATACTGAAGGCTGAGCCACAGGTGCCGAGGGGGCTGCCTCCCTGGGCTTGGGGATTGGGGGATGTGGGTATTATTTGCAGGGGACGGGGATGCTGGACAAGGGGAGGCATTGTTAATCAATTCTTTTGCCTCAGACCCAAAAAAAGAAGCGATCGTTAAAGAGCTGGACTCGTCTGGCCCAGTTGCATTTTGGTGATGTATCTATTGACAGTGGTGACAGAGCTGAGTTTGTAGAGCAGGTCTCCGAAGATCTCATTTGGGAAAATATGAGGAATGAGCCAAAAGCAGGGCTTCTGAGTTCCATGTAGTCTCTGGGATCTTTAAAGGCCCACTCTAAACCCATTCCTTGGCTTGCATAAGAATATGGGCTTTTCCCTAATTTCCTGGGGCTCATTGACGTGGAATCAGATCTCAAGATTGGTCCCACCCTTTAGTGTACCCCTCTTTTTTTTTTTTTTTTTTTTAAAAAAAACTTGTAAGATTCTAGCCTGGGATCCAGAAACTTTCTATTGCACAGGGTGGGAGGAAATGAGAAGGAAGAGTTCTTGGTTCCCCAGAGGTCAGTTTTGAGACCAGGAACTAAAGCCAGAAAGTGGGGAAAGTTGGGTGTATAGAGAGGAAGGAGTGAAGCAAGAAGAGGGTGCCTGAGGACGGAGTCTGTGTAACAACAGATTGTAATTATAACAACGTGGCACTTCGTAGGTGCTCAGTAAACGTTTGTTGAATGAATGTTAACGTGTAAATGGAATTTAAAGGTGAATGAAACTCTTCTCAACTGATGTGAAGGGCAATCCTGCTGGCCACAGGGCACAGTTAAAACCTTCTCATCTATGACACATATTTTCCATTTGTCTCAGGATCATTCATTTATTCTGCAGATATTTCTTCAATACTTACTTTGCACTGAGATAGACAAAACTTAGCTCCTGCCCTCAAGCAGGTGGGCGGAGAAAGACCCAAAACAAAGAACACTAGCAAGAAACCCTCATGAAGCCCTTTCATACCTGTCCCCTTGTTTTCCTCATAGCTTCATGGGTAGACCCGATGGGTTGTTTTTGGCCCATTGTGAGGACACTCGAGAAGACAGTCCTTACCTTGCAGGGTGGCTGTGATGATTCCAGGAGAAGGTACACAGAAAACATTAGCTAGTCAAATGTTCCATAGATAACATATACGCACACAGACATTCTTCAGTCTTTTTTCTAGTCTACCAAGCTGTCTGCAGCAACTGGCATTATATGATGCAGTTCTCCATGTCTGTAAATTTCCTTTAAAATGTATTTAAAATGCCCACATAAGATTTTAAGTACATGTGATAAATGTTTTCCTTACCCCCGCCCCCCCCCCCCCCCCTTGGCCCAGAGGGTTGCACGTGGCCTCTCTCGGAAAAAGTACTTCATAGGTCTGCCACAAGGGCTTCCAGGGCCAAGGCCACCTGCTCGCCAGGGTGTTTCATATTCCAGTCAGATAATCTGGGTGATACGGGTTTGGTTTGGAGCCCACCTTCCAAGCATGAAAGGGACCACTCACCACTTTGCCCAGTGTTTTGCAATCTGCCTTCACTGGTTGAAAGACAGACTCTTAGGGTTTCTGCCTAAACCATAAATGTTATGCCCTGTCCTGTCAGTACCTAGGAGCTAGGTGTTTTTGTTTGACTTGAGCCTCAGGCCCCAGAAAGACTTTCTTAGCAAGGGGCTGGTTTCAGTGGGGCGGGGGGTAGTTAGGTGGACATTAAGAGAGATGGTTGCAGAAGTTGAATATTGCATGCTCCGGGGTCCTCTGTATGGTGCCAACTCTGAGTAGCTGTCTGTGCTAGGGGGTGGGGAGGGACCCTTGTTTTCCTGCTACTCATCAAGCCCCTGTTCTGTGCCAGGCCTCATTCTGGGCACTTTATGTGCATTGTCCTTTTGATCTTCACGACCCTCTCCTGGCTGGTGGGCTGGTGGACTAGTGGACCAGACCCTGCAGCTGATCTGCCTACTTTGCCGTCTTGATTCCTACAGATCACACAGACAGAGGTCCAGCAAGGACAGCAGCAGTTCAGCCAGTTCACGGATGGACAGGTAGGACACCCAGCCTAGGCAGGAGCAGAGGATGAGGAGTTGTGACAGGGTAGCAGGTGATACCTGTGGGTTTGGATGGCTAGGGCAACTGTCCCATCATCTGTTGACAGTGAGTGGACAGAAATTGTTGAAACAACAGTCTTGCCTGTCCTCTAGATTTATAGACTTGGTGGGAGTTGACAATAATCCTAGACATTATGTAGCCCCAGTCCCCGTTTTACAGATGAGTGAACTGAGCCCTGGAGGTGGGAAGTGCCTTGTCTGTGCTTGCTTAGCTGTTCATTGCAGAACCAGGACTAGCATGCAGGTCTCCTGTTTCCCTTCTTTAAGAATAGTTTTTCTCTAAGCCACGCTCTTTTTAATCGCATGGATTAGTTGAAACGCAGAGAACATGTGACCTCGCAAGCTCTCTAGGTGCCTGGAATTCAGTAATTCTAAGCTCGTGAGGAAGGGATCTTCCCTTTGCCGGCCCCCTTGCCCTTCGCACTATCTTGCCAGAGACCCCTGAGGACATGATAGGATGACATGCCTAAGCCTATGTTCTCTGCTGCCCAGAAAGGAGAGGAACTGGCATCAGGACCCAACTCTGGCTTCTGCCAGCACCAGATGCCAGGCTCACATGCCAGGGCTGCTGTGGCAGGGGGTCTTAGCTTTTGGTTTCTTTTGGAAATACCTGAGAAATCATGTCCAGTTGGCCCTAACCTTCCGTAGTGGCTACGCGAGCCTCTTCGCGGGTCTTTGCTGCAGTAAGCATTTAATCCCAGCTGACCTGCCTCCCCGTCAGGGCCCATGCAGGAGATGGAGATTCGGCGTAGCCTCAGCCTGAGCCAGATATTCTGAGGAAAAGAGGAGAAGGGGTAATCCCTACTGCCCCTGCCAGTGAGGATTACTGAGTTGGGGAAATGCTGACTTCCAAGCTGCTGGTACAGTGGTTCGAATTGCTTGTGTTTGTCACAGAGGAACAGCGTGCAGCAAGCTCGAGGCTCTGAGCTAACGGGAGAGGCAGAGCCCAGAGAAGTGAAAGCCACAGGAAATGCAACTCCCTGCACCTCTTCCCCGCCCACCACACATACCCCCTCTCACCGGGCTGGTGCCTCCTGTGTCTGCTGCTCCCAACCACAGCAGAACTCCACTTCCCCTCCTCCCTCTGACGCCTTGCAATGGGTGGTGGTTGAGGTATCTGGGGCCCCCAACCAACTCGAGGCCCATAGGGAGCTGCATGCCCCTCTCCCAGGGGTGACCTCACTCTCTCCTCTCCACCCCTCGCAGCAGCTCTACCAGATCCAGCAAGTCACCATGCCTGCCGGCCAGGACCTCGCCCAACCCATGTTCATCCAGTCAGCCAACCAGCCCTCCGACGGGCAGGCCCCCCAGGTGACCGGCGACTGAGGGCCTGAGCTGGCAAGGCCAAGGACACCCAACACAATTTTTGCCATACAGCCCCGGGCAATGGGCACAGCCTCCCTCCCCAGAGGACCCTGCCGACCTCAGCGCCTCCTGCAGGCTAGAACACTGGTGCACTACGCCCGACGCCTGGGGGCAGAGATTCTCCACAACAGAAAGATGCAATATTTTTTATTTCCTTTTTCCCTTTTTTTTTCTCCACGGAATCAATATTTCAATATGTTGAGCTGTGTGTCCAATGCTATGAAATGAAAATAATAAATAACATATTTATGGCATTTTCTTGAAGAGTGTGGTTGAAGAAATATTTCTTTTGTTTCTCTTTTTTTGGTTCTTACTGCCACTTCTTTTAGGAGCAAATCTCCTCAGGGGTGTATGTAATCTCCTGACTCTTGGAACAGCTGCTGACCCAGGATTTACCACCTTGTTCTGCCCTCAGGTGAATTAGGTGACCGTGTGTAGCTTCTTTTTCACTAGTGCTCCTCTCCCCGCGCCCCTGCTCTTGCCCCAGAGCTCTGTGGATTTGCATCAGAGGCCATGGAAACATTCCATGCATTTAAGAGACTCATTTGCCATGGGGAGTGGATGGTTTCATTCCCAAACCCTTCTCTTCCAGGGACTCAAGGAGACTAGGACTTTGTGTATTTGCCCCCCACCCCCCAGTTTTAATTTTATTTTATTTTTAAATGCATTAAAAATTATGCTAGTCTCCTTTGCTGCATGGACTTCAAACTGCATGAAATGCAATAAAAATCATTTTAGATAATTTGGAGTCTGGGTTTCTGTGTCTGGGGACATTCATGGGACCACTTTGCTTGGGAAAGGCTTAGAAAGGTTCGTCTGCCCTCAGATTGGGTGTCTGTGAAGGAGGGGAACACCCTTGTGAGGAGGGGGGATGTCCAAAGCAAAGGGAACTTGAGCTGCATGTCTGATTCAAATTGAGATCTTCAGCTGATTTAAAAAATGAAGTTCATTTTTTAAACGTTCATCAGAACGTTTGCTGCTCAGAGTTGCCTGCCTGCCTTATTTCCTGGACTACGTATGACACATGGGCCAGATTCAGCCTGTGTCCTTGGCCGAGGGTGAAGAGAGCATCTCTCATGGAGAAAGCTTTCTCTGTCCTTAAGCAAGGACTCGAGTACGTCCCTCCACTCCTGTCTCGGCACAGGCTGGCACTCTGAGCTGCCTGCTGTAGCCATGCCCATTACCAAAGGCATGGATGGCATCTGCCATGGAGGGTAGCCCAAGCCCCTTGTCAGCCAGCAGGTCAGAAGGGTTCTACAGCCAGGGCTTGAAAGTATGGAGAACAGAAGGAGCATTCCACTTCTTCACGGCCTCTGTTGGCCGTAGAGGCCAGCGGTGAGCCGTCTTCCCCTCACCATGCCATTTACAGCTAGAATGAGGCCTGTGGTCATGGGAAGAGCAGAGAACTGGCTGCCAGGAAAAGTACTGATGTCTTCTCAGTCAGTAATATGTCATAAAACCTTAGGCAACTCCCTTCTTTGGGGGACTCTTACAGTGTGAAGCAGGGTTAGGGAAGGGGCTTTAATATTCGATTATTTCAAGTCTGACCCTGATGCTCTAATAATTCCCTCACCGAATATCCCCCACTGTTAACCATGGTAAGCACTTGGACATCTGTCTCATCTGTTTCATTTTCAGTTACTTACCTAAGTGTACCTTACCTTACTCCACAAGAAAAAATAAGACGGCTTGCACTGAAAACATACACAGTGAAAAAATGTGACAGATGAGAATTAGGAAGAATATTGTTGAGTAGGAAATCAGGATCATCGAAAACAAGAACAAATATTCTGGCTGCAAAGACCTACAGAGTTCTTAAAATTAGGTTTCACGTTCGATCCCGAGCTTCCTGACCACCAGGGCAAAAAGAGAGATGGGACCAGGTAAGAGATTCATATCTAAAACAAAGAAAGATAACATTCTTTAGCAAAAGCAAAGATGTTCCTTGCTGTAAGGTTTTGGATACATGGTACCCCTCCAGTGTCATCAAGGTAGATGAAGCAGGTGATACTGTCACCATGAGAAGTCAGGTCTGCCCCCTTCGTTCTAGCCCTGGACTTTTCTCTGAAGGGGATCATCTGGCCTTTCCCACTGTCCTGTACCCAAACACGTCTCAGTGAGACATGCAGGTAATTCACTGACAGCACGTGCCCAGCCCCACGTGGAGAGGATTCAAGAGAGCGCTTGTGAATGAGAAGCACCCAGAAGGGAGGCTGGGCTCAGAAAAGGCAGAAGCTCAGCTCTTTTCATTTCCTGGCTAACCTCTCATTTTGAGGTCACTGCACAGTCCCACCTTGCTGCTCTTCCTCCCATTCATGAAAACCCAAGCATAACTGAAATTTCAGACCAGTCAATGGGTCCCCATTTTCCTGCAGACTTCCATTCTTATTTTGGAAATGTTTCGATCAGTTGCCTTACTGAGCACGTTCCCTTTAAATTTCCCCGCCAGCAGGGCCCATGCGGGTGTAAACAAACACTTTGGTGCTGCCCAAGAGAGCCCCTATCTAATACCCAGCACGATCCCCTTACATCCGGAGCACTCTTAAACATTTTTCCTAGCACTTGCAGCATCTGTCCTCCCAATGATCTTCACAATGACCCTGCAAGGGGAGACAGGAAGAGGGATGGTGATCCCTGTGTTACAGATGGAGACATAGGAGGCCCAGTGAAGTGCAGTGACTTGCCCAAGGTCATGCCATGAATAGGGGTAGAGCTGAAACCAAAACATTGGTCTCCTGACCCCCTGTGCATACATAGTTGCTTTCTGGCCAAAGGTGGTGTGTGTGTGTGTGTGTGTGTATGTGAGAGAGAGAGACAGGGCTTTATAAATATAAACTGTCTCCTTTCGCTCTGCCTCCCCAGACCCACTGGCCCAGCCTTGAGTATACGTGGAATAAATAGAGCAGTTAGGTCTGGTCTGTTGACAGCTGGTGGTTGGGATAACTTTCCCAGAAGGCGATGCTGGGGGCTGGAGGGCCCTGGGATTATGAACAGACCACCTGGCCAGCCTCCTTACTGCTTAATTCTGCTGAGGCCACAAGGGGGCAGCATGTAGCACTCGCCCAAATCTGGGAGGTGCCCTGTCCCACCCTTATCCCAACTTCAGACAACTCTAGGAACTATGGGGTATGACTGTCCCCTTTCTCAGTGGGTACTAGATCTTTGGTACTAGATCTTTAACCCCTTTCCTGATAAGACCCTTAACTTTTGAAGGGAGGGGCCTTCCTGGGGCAACAGTGAGGGCTGGAAACACTATCCTCTCCAGAGTATTACATCAGGGTAGGTGGTTAGATTTTAATAAGGAGACTTTTTGACAGCCCTTCTTATCTCCCCAGCTTTGTGTCTTTCCACTCTTCCTCCCTCCTGAACTCTACATTCTTGTCACACTCAATTACTCACTGGTCCCTGAACTCACCTCCATGTTTTCAACTGGCCCCAACGCCTGGATGTCCTTTTACTTTCTTTTCCACTTATTGATATCCTATACATACATCAAGGCCCAGTTTAAATGGCCCTTGCTGAGAAACTTCTAACTCCTAGGACAGAGTTAGCAAAGACTTCTTTGATGCTCTCACAGCAACTTCTACAGCCTCTATTATTAGTGCTCATATACACAGTCGTTCAACAAATGTTTCTTTGGCACTTTCTGTGTTTCAGACATTGTTTTGGACATTGTGAAGACAGCTGAAAACCATCCAGATGAGGTTTGTGCTATCATGGAGCTTATACTGGGTTGGGGGCCGGGGGAGAGGTGGGAATGGGGAGGGGAAAGATAGACAACAAACACAAGACGAGTTAGGCTCTGAACAGTCTGTTAGAACTTTCTGGTTTTGGCTGTCTTCCTCACCGATGGTCCTCCAGTTCAGGGTCATCTCCATGCTTCCAGAGCCCAGCTCAGGGCCTGGCACCAAGAGAATGACAGTAACTGATGACTGAGTTCACAAACACGAACTCTTCCCTGAAGATGGGGCCTCCGACACTGCACACATTCCTACCGCTGCTCATTGGCTGTCGCTGTCACTTTTTTGTTGGGAACAGTTTTCTGCTGAGCACTGACTGATGATATGCTAGGCAGGAGTATTCGATGGAGATGATTCTTTTAAGAAATTTCTGTGTAGGAAAATACATCTAAAGCTAGATGGATTCTCTCATTTCATCTTCACATCTTCATTAGGTAGGTATCCTGCTCATTAATGAGAAACTGAGGCTCAAAGAGTTTAAGAAATTACCCAAGGGCACCAGCTGGTTGAGTGGAGCCAGGTGCTCCAAGAAGTCTCCCGTCCCAGGCGGCTCAGCCCCACTGGTCTCGTCCCCTCTGATAAGTGATTCTTTTCCTACAGAGAATGAAAGTCCTCGCCCCCCAACTCCTGCATAGGGACCTAGCTTTTGTCCCATTGCTCACTGACCTCCCAGGAGGAGAGGGCCCCAGGGCAGAGGGCCAGGCAAAACCTGGTCACATGAGAAACTTGGGCCTGGCCTCCTCAAGGAGGCCTCTGAGCCAGACTGGCAGTGGTACTCCCCAGCTTGGGTGCTGGGCCACTACCATGAGGGGATAAGAGGATAGCAAGGCTGGCACTCAGGAGGGGAGAACCTGAGCTGGGCCCTGGCCGAGCCAGGCTGGGCTGAGCTCCTCAGGCTGGCTGGTGCTGAAGACAGGTCCAAAACAGAGCCCAGCCTCCCTCCGCAGCCCTGAGCCACATTGCCTCTCCAGCTCCCAAGCCCTTGTGCCTCTCTCTTTCAGCGAAGGTCCATGGGACAGAAGTTTCTAAGATATTGAATGTGCCAAAATGTCTTTATTTTGCCCTTTATTTAAATGACAGTTTGGCAATGTGTGGGATCCTACGTTCACAGTTATTTGCCTTCAGCACCCTGAAGATACTATTCCACTGTCTTTTGGCATCTGTTGTTGCTGATGAGATGCTTACTGTCAATTCAATTATTGGACCTTTGTAGATAAGCTATTTTTTCTTTCTGGTGGCTTTTAAATTTCCTCATTATTCTTGTCTTTCTACACTTTGGCTACAGGGTGTCTAGATGTAGTTTTGATTTGTTTTTAAAGCTATCTTACTAGGCACTCTGTGGGCCTTTTAAATCTAGAAATTCATGTCTTATTTCTGGAAAGAGCTTCGTCTTTCCAGTATCTTTTTCTGGAAGTAATAATATGTATGCTGGAGTTTCTCATTCAATCTTCTTTGTCTCTTTTCTTTCATATGTTTAACTGTTTTATTGTTCTATGCTTCATTCTGGAGGATTTTCTCAGTTAT